TTTTATTTTTATTTATTTATTAAAATTTTTTTTAATGTTTTATTTATTTCTAGGAGAGAGACAGAGAGAGCATGAGCAGGGGAGGGTCAGAGAGAGAGGGAGTCACAGACTCCGAAACAGGCTCCAGGCTCTGAGCTGGCAGTCAGCACAGAGGCCGATGTGGGGCTCGAACCCACGAACTGCGAGATCATGACCTAAGTGAAAGTTGGACGCTTAACTGACTAAGCCACCCAGGCGCCCCAGTAAAGGTAATTTTTAAAAGCCAAATCTTAATTTATCAATCGGTTGGCCCAAAATATGGGTGCAAGCTGAAAACGGACAATGGCTGCATTACAGCCATACCCCCGGGGCTGGCTTTGAAAGCCAGCGGTGAGAGAAAATCTTTAGGGTGGCACACCTGACTATCCACTTTATATGGAAGCACAATTGGCTTGAGATGAGAACCAATATGGCCACATGGACAGTAGCAAATATCTAGCCAGAGGTAAGGATTTTGGAAGGAAAAGGATTGAAAGGGCAGAAATATGAAGATCTGGGGCAGAGGCATGTGAATGAAAATAAGGGAATGGGAATGGTATGCAGAATTTTTTTTTACAGATTATTGCCCACCAGAGGCATTGAATGACCAAGTAGATGAAATAACTTATCAGTTGAGATTATCTAGAGTTTGTCCTTTCCCCACCCAGAATTAGCATGATGGGCAGACAAATGGAATACATGGATGCCACACATTGGTGCATTTGATGTTGCTCCAGGTACCTCTGTATGCAGATTCTACCAACAACTGAGTCCCTAACATGGCATTCTTGTTTGAGGAGACCAGTTGGCACTTGGTGGCAAGTTGACTACACTGGACTCCTTCCATCCTGGAAAAGCAAGTGGTTCATTTTCATTGAAATAGACATCTATTATGACATCTTTTATGAGTATGAGTGTGGCTTTACTGTCCTCAAGAGTCTTAGCTAACACCACCATGTTTGGGTTTCCTGAGTGCCTGATCCATAGGAACAGAACACCATATAAGCCAGTATCCCATCAGAGGTCTTGCTCCAATGATGAAGTCTAGACAATATGTCTACTTTTTTTTAATGTTTATTTATTTAAAAAAAATTTTAATGTTTATTTTTTGAGAGACAGACAGAGCACAAACAGGGAAAGGGCAGGAAGAGAGGGAGGCACAGAATATGAAGCAGGCTCCAGGCTCCAAACTGTCAGCACTGAGCCCAATGTGGGGCTCAAACTCATAAACCTGAGATTGTGACTTGAGCTGAAGTCAGATGCTTAACCAACTGAGCCACTCAGGTGCCCGACATGTTTATTTATTTTTGAGAGAGACATAAAGACAGAGTGTGAGCTGGGGAGGGGCAGAGACAGGGAGACACAGAATCTGAAGTAGGCTTCAGGCTCCAAGCTGTCAGCACAGAGCCCGACGTGGGGCTTGAACTCATGAACCTGTGAGATCATGACCTGAGCTGAAGTTGGACGCTTAACTGACTGAACCACCCAGGCCGCCCTATCCAATCTGTTAATAACAGGAATATCATTGGTGTTCCTCAGATTTTCAATATTTTTAGAGATCTTGTCTAATACTACCCATAATCTATTTCCCTCACTCAGATGGTACTTTGAATTTAAGTGGGCATTTGCTTTTGGCAATTCCTTCTGCTAGGGAAAGGAAAGAAAAGGTATTGTCCAATGCCCTCTATCCTACCCCACTCCACCAGTGCTGGTCAACCTGGTTTCCCAGCAACATTGTGTTGAATAATGTGGAAGAAGTTCATGGCTATGCTAAATAATTGCAGGTCCTACCCCTTCTACAGTCACCAAGCCCTTATGACTCTATAGTTTCTTCCCCATTGCTGTGTATTGCTCCTTGTGAACATCCATACTCATTCTTGCTCTTCCCTAGGCTCCCTTTGTGTAGTGTCTATTACCACCCAGCACTGTAGCTCATTGCTATGGGGAATTGAATCTATAGAATCTATAGAAAACCCAACAATCTTTACTTTTATCTGGTGTTAAGGAATAACATACTTGATCCTGGACCATTTAAATGAAGGATCCAAGATAGCACTGGATCACTAATATTTTGTCAATATTTATTGACTAAGTGTAGTAAGTCTTTCACACTTTCTCAGCCCTTAACTAAACCAAAGGTAAGCATATACTACATATAATGTAGAACAGACACTAGCTGGATATTTCCAGGGACATTTCAACAGTCTGCGTTTTCAATGTGGAATAGTATACACAGTACTTTAAGGAATGAACCGAATGCTCATTCACCTCTTAAGACTATTTGGGCCAGAACATCCCGGTCAAGGTACATTCCTGAAACTCAGTGTCATGGAAACTGAGTAAAAGTAATTTTACTTTTTTTCATGAAACCTTGGGGACTCATGCTAATGGTCTCTTATGCAGGGAGTCAACCTGTAACTTGTATAATAAAGATAAAAGTAAGTGTTCTAAGAACATAGGGTGTATGGTTCTGGAAGAGCTGGAGATGATACCAAGAACCAAGACCTTGGAAATAAAACTCCCTTTAACCACATGATGCTTTGAAGGACATCTACAGATTGAGTTTTAGTGCCATTATGGTTCGTGCTGTTTCAGGATAATGAACATTTTAATGAAGACAACTTTATAGTAAGAATGTCTTACCAATGGAATCAGTTACAGAATCCAACTGAAAATAACCTGGGGAAATAGGAAAACTTACTTTTCTGAAAAAAAAAAAAAAAAAAAAAAAAAAGCATGTGAAAGGTTGGGAAAAAATCAGGCATCAGCGACAATAGTCTTTCATTCCTTCTGTTTGTATCCATTCTTTCTTTCCATGCAGTCTGCTAAACAGCCTCAGAGTTTTACATATTATAACTTGATGGGACTCCTAAGCATCTGACTTTGGTTTAGCTCATGATTTTGTGGGTTTGAACCCTGTATCAACCCTCTATTTGACAGCTCAGAGCCTGGAGCCTGCTTCGGATTCTGTCTCCATCTCTCTGCCCCTCCCCCTGCTTACAATCTGTCTGTCTGTCTCTCTCAAAAATAAATAAACATTAAAAAAAATTAAAAAATAATAACTTGAGCCACTAAGGACTCTAAGAAGAACCTATCTTGAATGTCTGTCTGGATCCCCAAACCAAAAACCTGTGGTCAGCAGATCATCCCCAAACTAGGGAGACAGAATCATGATAACAAAATGACTATTCCCATTTGTGGTATGTGATGGAATAAAGATAGAAAAGAGACTGGGATAATGGTTTCTTAGAAAAATGAGAATTTAAGGAAATACAATAACATATGTAATAAATCCAAATTTAAACACGTCCACAGTGGGAATAAGCCTAGTGCAGAATTTCTCAATGTTGGCACTATTGATATTTTAGAGAGGATAATTCTTTGCTGTGGGGGCTGTCTTAGGCATTGTTAGATGGTTACCAGCATTCCTGGCCTCTTCCCACTAGATACCAGCAGCACCTTCCTGGTCATGACTTCAATAATGTTCCCAGATTTTGCCAAATGTCCCTGGAAGGGAGGTGGCAAAATTGCCTCCAGTTAAGACAAGTAGACTACATAAGTTAGTCAAAGTGGGAATTGAACATGGTATCATGAAGAATTTTACCTATAAATGCATCAGAATGTCCAGAAATTAATTTGTTCTCAGTCCTAGGTTGTTAACACTTTACAAATCCAAAGTCAGTCTTCTCATTGTAAAGACAGAAGCAATACCAACTCCACAGATTGGTTTTGAATATTAAGTAATTATGTGAAAGCACTTTGGAAGCTATGAAGTGGTATACAAATATCAGAGAATATTCATAAATATCTCTGTAGAGAACCAGGCCTTGTCTGTACCTAACTTTTTCTTTTCTTCAGAAGCTGACTTCACAGAAATAATATATATATTTAGGGCTTTTTTGTGAAATTCTCATCTTGCCTCACTTAAGAATAGGCTATTAATATAATAATAAACATGGGAATTTATACCATTTGATGTATGCTATGTTAGGCATTGTTATTCAGATCATTTATTAGTACTATATGTGGTAAGTAGTTAATTTATATTATTAATTTATGGGGTACCTGGGTGGCTCCAGCTTCTGGTTAGGTCATGATCTCATGGTTCATGAGATCGAGCCCCACTGCTTGGGATTCTCTCCCTCTCTCTCTCTCTTTCAAAATAAAAAAAATAATTTATATTATTAATTTATGAACTTTTACTATACATATTGAATAACTACAAGTGTATAACTTATAAAATTTTATTTTATTTTACCACGTAAAGTTGGAAGCAGCCAGGTTGCTCAATCACAAACAATTAAACTTTTGACAATTATTTGCCCTTGGTGGCAACAAATTATATAGCCTAGAAAGAATTACAAGGCTTTGATGAAGTATTAAACATGAAATAGAAATAAAAATTTGTCTCCTAACAGCATGTACAAGTATCACTTAAACATTTCAGACGCACATAGTACAAATATACATAATGATATTCAATGCCTTGATATCACATGCCTTGATCACATTGATATCACATGCCATCATCATCATCGCTACCAATTAACAGCTATAATAGTGATGATGAAAACAACAAAACCAAAAGTTATTAAATGGTTATCTTTAGTTGAAATAATCCTAAGCACATTACATGTATAATCTTAATAGTTGAGAAACTTATTAACCTATGTAAGAAGTATTTAAAAAACAGAAATAGAAACATATTTAGAGAATGGGAATGCCTTCCTTTATAAGGATAGCACAGTAAAATCTTAAGACTAATTAGATTAGTCAAATCTTTTTTAGTATTTCTATCCTCACATCTTTATCTGTTCTTAGTGTCCAAGAGCTTGCCTTATAATATGTACTATAAAATATATGTTTTTAAAATTTGTTTCTATGCTTTTCAAACTTAAATTTGTTGAATGAGTATAAGATAATAAAACATATTGTAGTAATGGTTTGTAAATATTTTTTGTTAAAGATGTGTGTTTTATTCCTTGCCCACCTTTTTTTTTTTTTTTTGTATTATACTTTTGTCCTATCATGGAGGTAAATCTTACCCCTCCCCTTCCTCTGCCTCCCCCTCCTCCTCTTCCTGCTCCTCTTCCTCCATTTCTTCCTCTTCCTCCACTTCCTCCACTTCCTCTTCCTTCTTTCCCTTGTCCTCTTCCTCCATTTTCATCTTCTCTTCCTTTATCCCCTCTTCCCTTCCTTCTACCTTTTCTGGCTTTTCTTCAACTACTTCGGAAGCAAATAGTATCTCTTCCTCCAACAATATGTTTGGAAACCGAGACTGTATTATCAAAACAATTGTGACACATACTGAGAAACATAGCGTTCTCAGAAAGAAGACCAATAAGCACAGTGGGTCACACACAATTGGCCGGGGAACTTCCCATCTTGGATACCAAAATTGGTAATCTGTAAATAGAGAAGCAATTGAAAGCTGGATTGCACATAAAGTAGTTAAACTGTCTAAGAAATAAAGGACAACAATACATACATACGGCTTCGTCACGATCTGCATTACCTAAAAAGAAAAAGAAAGTCCAGAAAGAATTATATAATATTCCTTCTTTCCCTAGAAATAAGATAATTTTTCTAAAAGTAATGATTTCTCCTAGTTCTCAAGCATTATGCTGCCATCTTTGATATGCCTCCTCCAGCCAGTACCTCATCATAAAATACAATATATTCTCGTTTAGTAAAAGTCAGCCTGGTCTGCTAAAGAGCACATAGAAGTATAAGAATGAGAACATGTGGATTCTATTACTAATTTTGTCTCTGAATCATTGCCTCCTTATACAAATCACTTCACTTCTGTCCGCTAAAGATTCTTCTGGCTTTAACATTCTGGGCTTCTATAGTATCTCTTACCTGCATTCTCTTTTCCCCCCCAGATCATTACAAATTAATCTTCAGAATCTACTCGTTTTCCTCATCGATTCTTATGTTCAGAAGCTTTCAGTTGCTCTTCATTTCTTAGCAAGGTTAATTCCATAGCCTGGGACTCATTGTTTTTGCTATCTAGCCTAATGCTATATACTTTTCAGGAAATAAATTTCTTTCCTCTGCTCACTGGTGCGGAGACAGTCAGACAATCATGCCTGGATTCCATTAGGAAGGAGAGTGAGGATAATAGTTCTCACACATAGAGAACCCAATGGCAACCAAGAGGTTTTGTCTTGCAACTAACACCACTCTTAAGAAAATTTAGAAATCACTCTTCAGACAACCTTAGAGATGAACTGACCTACTGATTATTTGCAGTTATTTTAGCTCTTTGCGCTTGGTTTTATTTTACTTCATATTTTATGTAATGATTTCTATTTTAGAGCTCCTTTAAAAAAATCTTTTACCACATAGTCTTTATTTTCTCTACTTCATTCCATGTATGTGATCAGTTTGAGCAATGATGTAATTAGCACGTTTCTTATTTGTACTTTCCTTCATTTGTCATCACTAATCTTCACTGATTACACTCTTACTTTCGTACTTGATTGAATTTTTAAATACATTTAAATTTGCTTATATTTCTATTGTTTCATTTATCAGTTTTAAATCATATCTTTTGGCCCCTGGCTATAGAAGATGAAGAAATTAAGCACATTTTTCTACCTTCTCTTCTTCTCCCAAATTTTATTAATTATATCATTTGTATATTGCCAATTATACATATTTACTTTTTTAAATAATTACAGACTTCAAATCTGTTTTAATCTTTGTCAATGAATATTCAGTGCTTATGGATAATTCTTTCAATGCGGCTTTTATTTTTCCATTCATCTCTTCTTTTTGGTGAAAGCCATCCTCTAGGGGTTTACTGAGAAAGTGCTCATGAGAACTGCACCACAAGTTTCTTTATGTTCCCACAACATTTGTCCATCTACTTGTACTTGAATAATAGGTTTGTCTAAATTTATGTACAGCATTAAGGACAATATAGATATAGTCATTATTCCACTGTTTTTTAAGCATTGACTGTTCTTGTAGAAAAGTTTAACACCAAACTATTTGTAATTAAAAAAAAAAAAAAAAAACAGCCCCTCTGGAAAACAGTGTGGAGGTTCCTTGGAAAATAACAATAGAACTCCCCTATGACCCAGCATAGCACTGCTAGGAATTTACCCAAGGGATACAGAAATGCTGATGAATAGGAGCACATGTGCCCCAATGCTCATAGCAGCACTCTCCACAATAGTTAAAACATGGAAAGAGCCTAAGTGTCCATCAACAGACGAATGGATCAAGAAGATGTGGTTTATCTATACCATGGAATACTACACGGCAATGAGAAACAATGAAATCTGGCCATGTGTAGCAACATGGATGGACCTTAGGGTGTTATGCTTAGTGAAATAAGTCAGGCAGAGAAGGACAAATATCATATGTTTGCACGTATAGGAGGATTAGGAGGAACTTAACAGAGGACCATAGGGGAGAAGAAGGGGGGAATGGTGGGGGGAAAGGGAGAGAGGCAAACCATGAGAGACTTTTGAATGCTGAGAAACAAACTGAGGACTGATGGATGTGGGGGGAAGGAGGGAGATGGGCATGGAGGAGGGCACTTGTGGGGACGAGCACTGGGTGTTATATGGAAACCAATTTGACAATAAACTATTTGTAAAAAAAGAAAAAGAAAAAAGAAAAAAAGAAAAGTTTAACACCAGCCAAAATCCCCCCCCCCCCCCCCCCCCCCCCCCGTTATGCAGGATTGTTAATTGCTAAAGCAGCATTCTACACTCATGGAAAATCAACCCTGTGATGCAGACCTGAAACTGGGAACTAACTACCTTTCTGTGAATCCCTTTCTCTGTATAGCTTCAGGTTAGAGTTGCCAATGACATGAATGCAAGTGAAATTTGGAAAATGTAAGAGAAGTGGAGACCGTTATTCTCCCAAGGTGGTCGTTACCCAGATACCTGAACAGATGTGAGATTCACAGTGGCTTCTTAGTAGGATGGGAAACTGTCTGCTTTGCTGCCAAACACTGACAGCGTTTAGTGAGAGCTTTCTCAAAGATTCTCAAATTTTCTGGTAAGCTTTTGAGAACCACTTGTTTTGGTGCTTCAGGCTAAGGAGGTCTTCAGTGTCTGCTTCCCTGACCTTTTAACTACAGTTTCTCTGCCTTTTCATGGCAACTTCTGTGATCTGTGCTCTTCTAGAGTTTCCATCATTCATTTACGCTTTATATTCTATGAAAAAAAGTATATTGTCTGAATATTTAAAGTGGCTGTTTTCTTGATTCAACCCAGACTATTAAACTCTAATGAATTATTTTACATTTTGGTTTGGATGCTTAAGGGAGTCTTTCTTTTCCTCTAATTCACTAGACAGTGTCTAAATGGAGATTATTTGGCATCATTTTTTCCTGGCATACGGAATGCATTTTCTTGCTTTTTTTAAATCTATACAAGGTTGTTTTTATTTTATTTATTTATTTTCAATTGAGGTATGATTGACATATAACATTATATTAGTTTCAGGTATACAGCATAATGATCTAATATTTGCATTTAGTTTGAAATCACTACCACAATAAATCTAGTGAACATCTGTCATCATATGTAGTTACAAATGTTTTTTTTCCTTGTGATGAGAAATTTTAAGTTCTACTCTCTTAGCAATTTTCAAATATGCAATACCTTATTATTAAGTATAGTCACTATGCTCTACATTATATCCTCATGACTTAATTATAACTAGAAGTTGAAGTTTGTACCTTTGATCCTCTTTTACCCATTTTGCCATCCACCCACCTCCACCTCTGGCAACCAACCAATCTGTTCTTTATAAGTTTGGTTTTTTGTGTTTGTTTGAGTTTTTGTTTGCTGGTTTTATACAGAAGATCATATTGTACCTTTCTTTTTCTGACATTTCACTTAGCATAAGGGCCCTCCATGTTATCACAAATGGCAAGATTTTCATTCTTTTATATGGCTGAATAGTATTGCAGTGTGTGTGTGTGTGTGTGTGTGTGTGCGTGTGTGTATCACATGCTCTTTATCCATTGTTTATCAATGGACACAAGATATGGGTTTAATATCTTGGCTATTGTAAATACTGCTGCAATTAACGTATCGGTGCATATCATATACATCTACATATACTTGAGTTCGTGTTTTCATTTTCTTCAAAGAAATATGCAGAAGTAGAATTACTGGATCATGTGATCTATTTTCAACTTTTTGAGGAAACTCTTCCTGTTTTCCATAATAGCTGCACCAGTTTACATTCAACAGTAGGCATTTCAATGTTTAGATTCAAGAACTTCTATTTTTGAAACTTTTATTATTTCTTTAAATATCTGTATATCTATCTATAGCTTTATTTTCTGTTCTATTATTTTTGTTCTGTTCTTCAGGGCCTCCAATTATTCACATGTTGAATCTGATTTATCAGTGCCTATTTATAATTTTCTCCTTAGTCTTTTTAAGTCCTCCATATCCCTGACTATTTTCCAGCATTTTTGATTCCTTGTACTGCTTTCAAAATGATTTTAAGTTCTTCATTAGAATATTTGAGATACACTAAAAATATTTTTGTTTACCTGGAATTCAAATTTATCTGGGCATCCTACATTTAATCTGGCAACCTTCAGGCTAATCCTCCACTTGGATCCCCTCCTACCTTGCTCAGATGTTGAAACCCAGACTTAACAATCTCCCATACTGTCAATTCAATAAGCACACTTTAATAAAAGGCCACACGGGGGTATCCTCTTCTTTCTGTCCCTCTTTTACTGTTTCCCCCATTCTCTTTCAATGTTTCTCATCCCCTCCCCCACCGCCCCAGGATCCTATTCTTGGCATACTATTCTTCTTTCTCTATGTGTTGTACCTGGGTGAGTACTTCCTTTTTCATATTTTTAGTGTTGTCTATATGCTAATGATTCTGAAATAGAGTCCTGATCTGTACCCTAAGCTTACTAGTCTTATGTACTCAGATGTTAAACAGGTATTTAAAGCTAATGATGATCAAAATCTATCATTTATTTTCCATAGCTTCCTCTCTTCATATAATTCATATCTCAACTGCACCAAACATGATATTTATATTAGACTCTCTCTTTTTCTCATCACTATATCAAATTAGTCTCCAAGACTGGCTAATTTTGTCTCATTATCTCTATTTCTCTTATAAATACTCCAATATGAATCTCATCTCTCCCCTGGACTGTAACAAAAAACTTCAAATTGATTTGCTTTCCTTAGATTTTGCATTAAAAATATTTTTTAATTTAAGAGGATTACTCACTTAGAAAAAAAGTTGCAGTACAGTACAAATAACTTTTATTTTGAACCATCTTAGTGCAAGTTGCCAATATGATACCTTAATATCTTGGAGTATTTAGTATTTCCTACAAACAAGGACATTCTTCTACATAACCATAACACAAACAACAAAATCAGGAAATTAACATTGTAACATTACCACTGTCTTTGGACCTCATTCAGTGTTTTGCTAGCTGTGCTAATAGTGTCCTTCGTAACAAAAGATCATGTTGAAAAGCATGCATTGCATTTAGTTTTCATGTCTTTATTTTCTTTAGCCTGGGACAGTGCTTCATTTTTTATTTGACATTCATGATCTTGACATTTTTGAAGACAGCATGCTAGCTATTTTGCAGACAGATCCTCAACAGATCTGAAATTTGGACTTATTTAATGCTTCTCTGTGATTGGATGTGGTTGTAAATCTTTGGCAGGAGTACCACAGAAGACATGCTGTGTTTTTCTCCTTGCATCCTCTTAGGTGGTGTAGGGTTGGCTTTTTTGTTTTTGTTTTTTGTTTTTTCCCATTGCTGATGATGTTCACATTGGTCCCTTTTTATGGCAGTGTCTGCCAGGCTGCTCTGTTGTGAAATTACTCTTTTCCCACTAGTAATTAAATATTTTCATGGGGAGTTACTTTGCAACTATCAAGACTTTGTTCCTCATCAAACTTCTAATTTATTCATTTATTAATTTATATTAGTATGAATCATAGTTTCCTGTTGTATCCCATGAGTTTTAATCAATTACTATTATTATTTCAGTACTCAAATTGTCCCATATTTGACCACTCAGAGCCCTTTAAAGTAGCTCCTGTGTTCTTGTGTGTCTATTTTGCTATATGACCCCATCACTCTTTGAGCACTTCTTTGCTTACAAGTATAAAAAGATGGTCTGGGTTTATCTTATATTTTCCCTGCCCCAGCTCTGGAACCTTTCTTCAGTGAGCCCAGGTTTCTTTTAGTGCAGGCCTGAATTTGGAACCTAGATCTGAGTGCTTGCTGTGCTCATTCCTTTGGGGGTGGGAAGCCATTTCTCCAAAGCCATCTCAGAGCTAGGGAATATATATACGTGTATATACGTACACAAATATTTACAACTATGTTTACTTATATATTTTGAAATCCTTAAGTTCCAATACCTCTAATTCCAATTTATCACAAGATTTATGCTTGTTTTCTCCCATTACGTATTTATACTTCATCCTATGACAGTGAGAAAACTGGTGCCCATTATTCTTAATCTATTTGTATACTTGATAAATCCCCTCAATATATGTCCAGTCTACATTATTGCCTCTCTTCTCTCTCCTACATGGGTGCCTTCTTCACCTTACTTGGACTCTTACACCCTACACTAGGCTGGTGGAATTTCCAGATTTAGTAAATATACATATAGGATGTTGCCATTTGCAATGGTGTGGATGGAGCTCCAGAGTATTATGCTAAGTGAAATAAGTCAGCCAGAGAACGAAAAATACCATATGACTTCTCTCATATGTGGATTTTAAGAAACAAAACAAATGAGCAAAGGGAAAAAAAAAGAGTGAGACAAAGCAAGAAACAGACTCTTAACTATAGAAAACAAATTGATGATTACCAGAAGGGAGGTGGATGAGGGGATAGGTGAAATAAGTGATGGGGATTAAGGAGTGAACTTGTGGTGAGCACTGAATGTTGTATGGAAGTGTGGAATTGCTATATTGTACACCTGAAACTAATGTTACACTGTATGTTAACTAAATGAAATTTAAACATAAACTTTTAAAAATATGTAGGATGCCTTGTTGAATTCAAATTGTAGAAAACAACAAAGAAATTCTTGGTTAAGTATATCCCATGCAACATTTGGAATATACTTATATTAAAAGTATTTTGTGTGTGTGTTTACCCTGAAGTTCAAATTTAACTGGGCATCCTGTATTTAACCTGGCAACCTATAGGCTGACCCTCCACTTGGATCCCCTCCCACCTAGCTCATATTGTGAAACCCAGCTTTGGGCTTCTCTAGTGTATAGAGTCCTTCCTTACTCCACTAGGGCTCTGACCCCTCCAATGCAGGCCACCTCCCCTATATTAAAGCTTTCATCACCTAGTTTGGATTCTGACACCTCATGTAAAATTGCCCATAAACATGGCCTTCCCCTTACCTGTGTAGGTTTTAATACCTCTTGCCAGGCCACTCCTCTATGTAAATCCTTTCCTCATTCTGCCTGGGCTCCAACAACCAGTGCCAAACCATTCCTCCATGGATGCAGTCCTTACCTGCTTAGTCTCTGATACTCTATGCCAGGCTTCTTCCTCCCACCCCATGATGATGTTCTCTTCCACATACTTGGGCTCATATACCACATACTGAGCCATCTCAGTATTGAGATCCCTTCATCCTGTTCTGTCTCTGAAAACCCAAGCCTGACCTCATGGATGGACACTCACTTTATTGCAAAGGGGCTCTAACCTCTTATTCAAGACCACATATTCCTATGTGGACCTTGTCCTCACCCTGCATAGGCTGTCCCCTTAAGTCTTCTGCACCAGGTATGAATCCCTTGTCATTCTGCTTATGCTCTAATATGCCACATCTTGTGGCCCTCTATGTGGATGCCTACCTTGTTCTGACATACTTAATGGTTTTAGGATTGAATTTTTTAGGAGGAGAGTGAAAAGGGAAAGAAAAAGAGCAAGATTCTGCATCTTGATTCAAGTGAAATAAGGGCAAAAATGTCGGGTGGATTCATCTCAGCAGTGGCATTATGATGAAACCGTCCATTAGTTTCTTTATCACAAATCACATTGTGTCCCTTAGTGTCTGAAATTTATCCCTTAGCACATTCTATTAGCATCATATATCCCAGGGGTAGTTATGCTTTTGGATTATATGCTCTTATGTTTGGAAAAATTAAACGAAAAATTTAACCAAACATATTTTCTACTTTCATCTTTTGAATATTGGGGGTGGGGTGTGGAGGGGCTAAAATAAAAGGCTGTTAAACATTTACTACTTTACTTCTTTTCTTTTTATAAATACTTTAGAACATCCTATCCTTTAGAGCAGTCATTTTCAAACAGGCTGCTATATCAGGAATTAACTGGGCAGTGTTTTCAGAGGAAAATTGTTCATTCTCATTCTTTCTTTCAGACATTGTGGTATGTCTCCAGGGGCAAGAACAGGGGTAAGAGGGGACAGAAATAGCTGTGCAGTCTAGAAAAATCTAAAGATGAACCGACTTCAACCCTCTTTTGATAATATAATAACACCACTCTGATCAAAAGAACATTATTAACGTGACAATGAAAAACTAGTGCTTAACACTACATTTTTCTTGTAGAATGTGTTATGGATTTTTTATGTTTAAGTTATTTTCTTCATCTTACTGCATAGAAAATCTGTGCATCTGTCATATCTGCTACATTGAGCACAAACTATTCCTGGTGTATAAGGCCTTCTCGACAGAGATCCTCTACAAAAAAGGAGAAAACATTTAGTTAGAAAAAGTCTCAAATCTCATCATTTAAATAACATGGTTACCAATTTTTAGTTAGGTTATAAAAGTGATTTAACTAAGAAAATGAACTCAAGGAAATACTGAAATTGGAAATTTCAGCAATCTTCTCATATTTTCCCCTAAAAAAAGTCTTTTCTGAAATGAATTCCCATGTCCTTGAAACAAAGTAGTATAATTTAAATATGAGTTAAAGTTGCTTTCATTTTAGTTTGTAGCAAAATTTTCCTTTCAAAATGATGTTATAGAATGTTTTATAATTAATTGTTTTCTGCTTGGTACAAATGTATTAAAGATTCTATAGAATGATATATTAATTTTCTGACGAGTTTGCAAAACCTTGAAATGCCTACTGTTCCAAAGACCCAGTTGCTTGGCTTACCTAAGTAAGAAATCTGCCTTAAAAATACATAAATAGAGGGGGCCTGGGTAGCTCAGTCGTTAAGGATCTGATTTCAGCTTAGGTCATGATCTCATGGTTTGTGAGTTAGAGTTCTGCATCAGGGGAGCTCCAGGCCTGCTTCAGGTGAACAAGAGCTCTGCTTCAGGTGAGCCTCACTTCACTCTTTCTTTCTTCTCTCTCTCTGCCCCTCCTGGGATTCTCTTTGTCTCTCTCTCTGCCCTCATTTCTTTGCTCCATCTCTTTCTCTCAATTAAAAAAATATGTAGGGGCGTCTGGGTGGCTTAGTCGGTTAAGCGTCAGACTTTCGCTTAGGTCATGATCTCGCGGTTCGTGGGTTGGAGCCCCGCGTCGGGCTCTGTGCTGACTGCCAGCTCAGAGCCTGGAGCCTGTTTCAGTCTGTGACTCCCTCTCTCTCTGACCCTCCCCTGCTCACGCTGTCTCTCTCTCTCTCTCTCCTAGAAATAAATAAAACATTAAAAATGTATATGTAAATATATAAAGCAAATAAATTAAAATAGGATTTTACAAATTTTGCTTTAATCCATTGTAAGGAACAGAGGGAAGAAGTGAGAAATGATTACATCAGTTACCTAGAGCTAGGTAAAAAAAGGGACCCTAAAGTAGATATGAATCGGAAAGCTTATATGAAGGATGTAGGTTAAGAAAGAAGGAAGACAGGGAGGGAAATGATATTTTTGAGTGAGGGGAGGGTCATTAATCCTGGTTATTTAAAAAGGATTGTTCTTTTACTCAGTGTGTAGTTGGATACTATAAAAACAAATGTTAGGCACATAAGCCCCTGGTTCAGTCACTCTGCGCCTTCTGGAAGAAGGGTGAAACCTAAGAAACACAAATTCAAAAACCTAAATATCAAATTTCTGAGTCCTATCTTATCCGAAGTTTTTGGTGAGAGCCAGTAAGGTATACGATACCCATGAACGGCAAGCTTTCTAGTCCATCAAAGACATCCAGAGGTTTATAGTTATTTGCAGGTCAGGTATCACTTCTCTAATGTCACTGTTCCACTATAAAGTCATTGCAAGGAGGAAATCATTTTGTTTAGATCCTAGCAGAACACTAGTCTTTCAATAATTCAAGAATTAATCTACTCACCTTCACTGACACCCTAGCCTACTTTTCCTGCCCTAATCCTTTATCACTGAAATAGATGTCTCTAATACAAAAGCAGCACTTCTGTCCTTAGATACAGGGATGGACGACCCCTGACTTTGAACCTATGCAAAACGCTACTCTCTACAAAGACCGCCTTTAAAACCTGCAGCATCGGCCAATAACCCTGTGATCATAATGTCTGATGACTATGGCCTAGAATAACTTTAAAAAGGCAAGTAAATAAATAATAAATATATAAATAAATGTATCAATTAATCAAAATAAATAAATTTACATCAAGCTATAATACAATGGCCCTCTTTTTCAAAGACTGAATTTCATAACACTATTTATATTATATGGCCAAAAATGCAGACTAATACTGTCCCATGCCAATCTTTCTCTTGTTCTGAGTCTGAGAGAGGTTTAGCTTAAATCAAGTCTGAATCTGTAGTCGAATTCCACAACTGCAATTGAAATATTGGGCTGGGTTAGGAGAAAGCAACAGTTAAGTACCTATAACCAGGAAGGTCCACTGAAATTTCACAGCTGTCCAGGCAGTACTTGAAGAAGCAGACAAATTTCTCTATTTTTAGATATTTGCTTTTTCCAAGTCAAGACTGAACAGTCCTCTGGAACATTTTTCAGACTAATAATATATGACCATACCTTCAATATGTTACCATCTATAGGACATGTGTCCAGGCCTACATAAGGACATGTTAGCTAGGTGGCCTACTGAGTAACTTATACCCATATCCAACCCCAAGTCCATTAGAAGACTGTTATTCAAACTTTATTTATTTCATTTCATTTCACTTTTTAAAAATCTTTATATATATATATATATTTTTATTTTTTTTGAGAAAGAGACAGAGTGCAAATGGGGGAGGACCTGAGAGAGAAGGAGACACAGAATTTGAAGCAGGATCCAAGCTCTGAGCTGTCAACACAGAGCCTGACATGAGGCTTGAACTAGTGAACCACAAGTTCATGACCTGAGTCAAAGTCGGATGCTTAACTGACTGAGTCACCCAGACATCCCTCAAATTTTACAGTAGATCTATGCTGTTTCAAAATGAACACAAGTCTGGTGGTGACAGAAATTTTCAGGGACACTTGGGTGACTCAGCCTGTTAAGAGTCCAACTCTTTTTTTTAATTTTTAATTTTTTTTAAATGTTTACTTATTTTTGAGAGAGAGAGAGAGAGAGAAAGAGCGCGAGCAAGCATGAGCAGGGGAGGGACAGAGAGGGAGATACAAAATCCAAAGCAGGCTCTAGGCTCTGAGCTGTCAGCACAGAGCCTGATATAGGGCTCGAACTCATGGACCCTGAGACCATGACCTGAGCCAAAGTTGGACGCGTAACTGACTGAGACACCCAGGTGCCCCTTAAGAGTCCAAGTCTTGATTTCATGATCTCACAGTTCATGGGATCGAGCCCCACATTGGGCTCTGCACACTAACAGTGTGGAGCCTGTTTGGAATTCTTTTTCTCCCTCTCTCTCTGCCCTTCCACCACTTGCACATACGATCTCTCTTTCAAAATAAGTAGATAAACTTAAAAAAAGAGAAACGTTTACTGCCTTCACTAATCTCATATCTGCCACCACTTTGTTTATGAAAGAGATAATCTAGCACCATGAATTGACAATTTAGCAACTACAGTTTGTGGGCAAATTGATCTCTTTCAAGTTTTCCATGTAAAACTCATCTTGCCAAAACATTGTTCACAGAATGATGGCAGAGTATATCAAACGTGTTGACTTTTCCATCTCACACAGCCAGCATAACTAGACCACCTCCAATAACTCCTTTCAATATCACTACTTCCATGTATCATTGAGAAATACCACAACACTGGTTTCTGGTTCATACCTGGACCTCTATATGTTTCCAAAGAAGACTTAAAGATCTATCCCAATTAGCTACACAAAATTAAAATGTAATAAGCAGCAAGGTAGATTATCTTTTAGCAATCCTATCTGGCTCTCCTTCTGATACATCTCATATCTTTTTGCTAAAACTCCATGACTACATGGGCCTATTTAAGGTCAAGAAAAGCATGAATCCTGTTGGAGTTTTTTTGCCTCAAATTATCCCTGTATGTGCAAAGCTACCTTCCTTTATATTGCTTTCTGTAAGACTTAGTTGGTCACAGCTCTTTCCTTCACTTCCACATCTTACACCCATAGATCTAGGCACCACAGATAAATACCAACAAAGCTCTTTTATGATGGATATTATTTAGCTGCACCATCCTCTAATCCTCCCCAAGATATCATCTTCCTTCTGGTCATGCCTCCTTTTTAAAAATGTTTATTTGTTTTTGAGAGAGAGAGAAAGAGAGATAGAGAGAGGGAGAGAGAGAGAGCCAGCCAGCACATGAGTGGGGGAGGGGCAGGGACAGAGGGAGTCACAGAATCCTAAGCAGGGTCCAGGCTCTGAGCTGTCAGCATAGAGCCCAACACAAGGCTCGAGCTCACAAACTTTGAGATCACGACCTGAGCCGAAGTCGGACACTTAGTCATCTGAGACACCCAGGCGCCCCTGATCATGCTTCTTTATTAACTTTAGCACCTCGGTCACCATTTCCCTTTTCAGCCAAAATTGTCCTTGTCCTAGAATTTGGGGCATAGATGATTATAATATGCTTATAGATGGCTCATCCAATAACTTGGTCTGTTACTGAATGTTTTCACCATCTCAAAACTTTCTAGTACTCCATAACTGTCACTTTTGTAGCTACACTCTGGATCTTGTTATCCCCGAAAATTACTCTACGTCTAAACTCACAAAATCACACACTCCATTCACTGACTGTAACTTCCTATCCTTCCAGCTTGCTCACTCATTTACTCCTGCTACACTTCTCCATTAAGTTCACTGGTACTCCAAGTCTATCTACTCCCCTGTTTTCTCCCTATCTATCCTGTTGTCTCTTCTCTACACAGCTTAGGTCCATTGCTTTGTATATTATCTGGCTAAAATTCTAAAACTCTCTTGCACTGTTTTCCTTTACATCTACCTGAAAAAATCCCAGTGTTAGAAAAAATGACAGAATCTTACTTTCCATGTTCTCTATGTCTGCTTCAGGGCTGCTGTATGCCACTCGGGAAAAATCATTGGACTAGGCAGAGAATCATTCTGCTTGTCCACTCAGCTTCCTCTCTCATTTTCCAAAGTAACTATTTCAAACTTTCCCAACCCTCAAAATTCCTGCTTCACTGTCTCCCCCTTTATTCTCAGGACGTGATCTGTCTCTCCTACTTCACAGTGAAACATAATAGCTGTTAGATTGGAACATGAAAAATTTTCTATCACTAAATATGACAAATCTACCTATTCCCTTCTTCTTTCTAATACAACTGAAGAACTGCCCCCTCTTCCCTTCTAAGGTTAATCTCTTTTTAAAAATTGTTTTCATGTTCATTTATTTTTG